AACACCACTCAACTATTTTTAAGTTCAGTGATAAACAACAAAACGTGTTATTGTCTTCGCTCTCTTCATGCGTAAATAATTCAATTATTATTTTTACACAATTTAAGAGGTCTCATAGGTACTGTATATTGTGTAGAACTTGTTTTCTAAATTACCCTATATAATATGAAATATGTCTGATTTAATGTTTCTTCATGACATAACCGAGTCAATCACATAAAAGAAAGACACGAAAGACACATTCAATTACATTTGTCATGAATGATCAACTCAACTACAGTATTCACTGAAAAAAAAAACCCTATTATTATTAGATAATATTACTTAAAGATTATAGGTGATATTATATCAACTTTTAAGACAAATTATACGGTTAGGCCATTTTTACTATGCTGACAGAGGCATAGAAGATAATATAGAGGCACGCATACCCAATTTCTCCTAGTTTGCGATTGTCTAGTTATGTTAGGCTTGGACAATTCGAAACATTTTGAATTGAAATACCCCTCGGGATGTATTTATAGTCTTTCTGCAATTACATGTCTTAAGCTTTGTTCGCACTGAATTTAAAAATGGTAAATTTAACCAGGGTAGCTTTAACCAAAGTCATGGGTACATTTCACCATTGTTCGCACTTGGATTATTCACGCGGTTAGTTTTACCATAGTTTTACAAAGATTTAACCTTGTGTATAAAAAATATTATTGAGGGCGCTAGTTTTTGACTTCAACTTCCGGTTTTGTTCGAGCGGTGTCAACATGGAAGAAGATTTAACCGTGTTGCACGTTCGGGTTGGACTTCTTGACCAGCGTGGTTAATTTAACCGAGACCGTGGTAAGTTTTACTGGGCAGGCTGAGGTCGGTAAAATTAACCGTTCGGCTTGGTTAATTTAACCCTGAGGGAATTGTAATCGACGTTCGGATTAGATTTTTTTGGTCAATTTAGCCAGTGACTCGGTTAATTTGACCAAATTAAGTCCAGTGCGATAGGGGCTTAAGTATTACTCAATGTCAATATTTCAAAAATAAGGTTATAGATAGAAGATGATTCGCTACAAAAGCAGGCCTACAGCATTAAATTGTACGGATCTTGGAATTTGAAATAGATACCACCTCAGACCCATTTATGATTCAGACTCAGATATGTTTATTTAATCCAAATAATAAAAGCAAATACAGAAAAAATAACAGTATCACAAGATAAAAACGGATCTGGGAGACCTTTATAATAGCTGGAACAGCCGCTAGCATCAATAATAATAATAATAATAATAATAATAATAATAATAATAATAATAATAATAATAATAATAATAATAATAATAATAATAATAATAATAATAATAATATTAATAATAATAATAATAATAATAATAATATTATAATAATAATATTAATAATAATAATAATATTATTATTATTATTATATAAGTAAGTTATTAATATATTGGTAAGACAGACAGGTGCCTTAGGCTATATAACTAGAGTATCTGAACATTCTACTGTCTCTAACAGTGTCATACACAATCATAATTGAGTCTTGCGATGCTTTTCAATATATTTTAAAACTTCATAATTTGCCTAACACAATTAAAGATGATTTCATTGTTAATTTCGAATCTCTAATATATTCTAACACTGCAATAATTGACAGTTCTCCTAACTGGTCCCATTTACTATTTAAAGAAGCCCTTGCTATCCATCGCCTTAACCCTAAATTAAACTGTGGTCTCAAAGCATCAAGAGAGTTGAAATTGTTTATCTAATGTAATTTAACCCAACTTAATTGCCTCTCTCATAATCACCATTATGCTTAATCACCATTGTTATTGTACTAGCTTTTAATCCCCTCATTTAAATATTGTAGCATTTTTTTTAATCACTGTCTAAGTTTTCTCATTCCTGATGATGACCCAATAAAGGTCGAAACGTTGAATCATGGCCTCCCTCTTTTTATTCGGAGTAACGTTCATTTTATATTATTATTGTTATTATTATTATTATTATTATTATTATTATTATTATTATTATTATTATTATTATTATTATTATTATTATTATTATTATTATTATTATTATTATTATTATTATTATTATTATCATTATTATTATCATTATTATTATTATTATCATTATTATTATTATTATTATTGCATTGAATCAACAGAATTATTGATTGACCAGATTCTTCAAACACCAATTTAGTGGTATACAATTACATATTAATATTGTTGATTCATTATTTTTAAATTTTTGTTTTGATACCATCATTTTTTTCATTACGTGATTGATTGCATTGAATTTTGAATCAACTTTTATTAAATCAATCACCTTATTGAATCATCCATTGAATGATTTATCGTTTTCTTCAAACATAGAGTGAAAATGATATTCATTACATTGTTTGTTTGATTGATCTATTTTGAAATATTTCTGATAGCATAAGAGGTTTTATTATTATCAATTTTTCCTCTCCTCTTCATTATAGTTTTGGCTTTTCTTCCGAAATTTTAACAAGAGTTTACGTTATTCTGCCTCTCCTCATCCATGATGATTGCATCTCAATATCGCTTTCAACCTCCAAATTGTACATACTACAGTATCATACAGAGTCAGTATTGCGTATGTCAGAAAGTTGAGATGTTTATTCGGCAATCACCAATTCAAGACTTTGGCTGGATATACTGGAGTGGGATGAGAGGAAGGGTTTGCTATGTTGCGGAAGACGGTTTCCAGGTGACAAAATCTTTACTCTAGGGAGGGGAAAGAAGATCTTGTGTTAGAGTATGTTTTGTGTTCTTGTGACGGTTATAAAAACAATGGATGGCTCCTACTGTAAGGCACTGAGTTTCATTGTTGTTAGCTGTTTTGACTTTTTAAAACTTTTTTACACTTTGTACAGCTGTAGTGACAAAGTCTCTCTTTTGTAAGCTGTGCGGGAGTGCGTTATTGGTTGTAACAGCGACTGTTGTGATCAAGTTGTTGGCTGATGGGTGTCTGGTGGGCGTTCCGTTTTCCGTGCGACTGTTGCAGAGAGACGTGTCATCTAGAGACTGATGTTCTTCTTGTCAGAGAAAATAGAAATATTTTCTCTTTTAGTTTTAGCTAATTTGATTATCTGGTTGTTTTGATGTCTTTCTTTTTGATTGTCATTTTTATATTTTTCTTGTTGTTAGGATGCACCACCCCGGTGGTTGAGTGCCACTGATTCAAAAGTGCATATCCAAATAAATTATAATTATTATACATAGCATGCACTTAAATAGAAGGGTTACCTTATCTACAAGAATAGTTTACCATGCGGGTTTAAGGGATTAACAATATAGAAGTAGGTGTGAAAAGGGTTGACTACAGGGGGTGGAAGTTTCTATATTTGAAAATGTGTAAAAAATAAGAACATTTTGAGCCTGAAATCGGCAAAATAAATTAGACCACCGAGTCTGGGCATATTTTACTGGTCCTGAAAGAAAGTGTAGAATCCAGTGGCGGATCCAGGGGTGGTGGGCAGTGCCGGATTAAGCATCGTCTGGCCTCAAGGCACATTTTGGAAATGGTCCAAAAACTCTAACAGTAGAATGTCTCCGAGTTTTCTGGCCTAATAATACCGGAAAATAGAGTGTAAATAATATTGCAGTCCAACTTTTGATGGCCCATCATTTTCGCCTGGCCCACAAGGCTTGTGCAAAAAAATCGAGAAGAAAAAAGAAAATTATATTCAAATTTAAGTATAGGCAAGCAATTTCAGGCAATCTAGAGGTGCCATAATCATAATTTTCTTTCCTCAGCCCCCATGGTGGGGCTGAGGTGTGTATGGACCCTCCTTATGGAATGGTTTGTGACATGTGACACTGCGTCTGAGTATTTGGATCATCTTACATCTTTCGTTATAAAAGCACTGTGTGTAGGCTATAACATTAATTTGCATCTTGTTTTAAAGAAATACCTAATATTGCGGTTTCCAACAGTTAAAAGTTGAAAATCAGACAATTTAAATGCACCACTTTACGAAATTCTTATTAAAACTCTATGATTCCCACCTTAAGAACAGTAAAGTCTCCCTCTAATTAAAGGCCCCTCCAAATTAAAAGCCACCTCAAATTAAAGACAATTTTTCTGTGTTCCCAAATTACAAATGTCTTTTACCTTTATGATTGTAATTAGAACAAAGCTGTTAAAAACCATGAAATTATGAAAGTTAGCACTCTGTACTGTTATGTTTGTGAGGTGTCATAATAAAATGAATCGTGTTATACAGATGTCAATTTGATATATTCAAGAAAATAAGTCTCCAAGGTCATGGGTTCAATTCCTGTCAGTTGCAGGACTTTTTCTCACGACCAAAACAACTCCACTCCCTAAACCTCATGTTTTGAGATTTAGTTTGTGTAAAGCATCATGTGTGTATGTTTGTGTTGTGTGTCGTGGACTGTTTTATGTGTACTGGGCCCTCTGGGAGAACAGTAATTTCTGAAGAGGAACACCCAGTATAAAGAACAAATAAATAAAATAAATAAATAAAAATAAAAGTGCTTTCAACAAATCGATTACAGACCACATGAACAATCAACCACCTACCAAATTGGAAAGAGTGACATCAGAATTCGAAAGAAAGATACAAGAAAACCAGTAGGTCCACT